AAGGAACAGGGTTAATGAAGAAAGGGGGAACAGAAAAAAAAAAAAAAAACCCTTAAATTAGAAAAAAAAAATTTCAACCAGGCACAGGGAAAATGAAAAAATGCTGAAAACTAGGACTTGGTAGGGGAAGATCTAGAATAATAATAAAAAGGACAAAAGTATTAATAATATTAGTTGTTTTAAAACAGACAAATAGAAGCCAACTAATCACCAGAAAAAGAAAGCGAAAAAGAAAAAAATAAAAATAAAGAGAAAAAAAAAAATCAGTGGAGGACAGGGCAGGGCACCCAGGCTCCGTCTGAGCACACAGATTGTGATGGAGTTCCTGTGGGCCCAGAAGGTAGGTGGGGTGGGGGATGGCCACACCTCCGTTCACCAAGCGTGTGTGGGTTATAAGAGTAACAAGAGGAATGTTGTACCTTTTCAGTCTTGCAGGTCCTGAGTGTCGTTGGGGTTGCTGGAAAGCAGAACATGTTCTTAAGCCCCAGGAATCTGCGAGAGTGCTGTCTCTTTAAATATCCAAAATAGTCAAGCAGCTTTTAAACCTGCAAAATGGCAGTGTCCTCTGGACCGGCAAAAGTCCACAGTTCAGCCCACCCTTCTCTTCACCTTCTCCATTTGTTCCCCAGCCACCGTGCACAGTCCTCCGTGCAGTCCCTGGCTAGCAGGGTGATTTTTAGTTTAATTCTTAGTTCCTACCAGCACTCGGGAATCTCCAAGCCATCTGTGCCGTCAGGGTCACTCAGGATCGCTGCCAGACCACAGCTTCATATGTCTCCTTTTTTGGTATTTTCATGCAAATTCTTCTGCTAGTTGGGGTTTAGTCCACTTCTGTATCTTTCCCTTCAAGGCTCAGGGGTCCAGGATTATCTTCTGTGTCTGTGTTAATTGGTTTCCCTTTTCTTTGTTGAAGAGGGTCTGTGCAGTCTTTCTGCCTATTCTGCCATCTTGCCGGAACTCCGAGAGTTTTTTTTTAAAGTAATTTTTGCCACATCACATTGCATGTAGAAGATATGGAATCGCTGGGTGGTGCAAATGGGTACATGTGTGGCAACTAATGAGAAGGTTTAAGGTTTGAGTCCACCAGATGCACCTGAGAAGAAAGGCCTGATACTCTTCTTCCCCAAAATCAGCCACTGAAAACCCTGTGGAGCACAGTTCTACTCTGACACACATGTGTCTCCATGAGTCAGAATCAAGTCAATGGAAAAAGGTACCGGTTGTTGTTGTTAGTTGCAGTCAAGTTGATTTTGACTCATGGTTACCCCATGTGTGCAGCACAGAACTGCTTCATGGGGTTTTCAAGGCTGTGATCTTTCAGAAGCAGATCACCAGGACTGTCTTCCAAGGTTCCTCTAAACCAAAACCAAACTCACCACCATTGAGGCGATTTGACTCATAGCAACCTCTCCTTGGGTTTCCAAGGCAGTATCACTACAGAAGTAGATTGCCTAATCTTCCTTCTGAGAATTGGCTGAATACCAACATTTTGGCTAGTCATCTAGGGCTTAACTGTTTGAGCAATCCAGGGACTGAAACTAGTAGAAGATATACTTGATAAAAAAATAATTTGTTTCTTTTTTCAATAATTATTTAATGTAGGTTTTCTAAGTTATAAAACTAATAGTATTCATTACAGAGATTTAGAAATACCAGAAAAACAGAAAGAAGAAAATATAACTAAATACAAATCTCCCTGGTCAACTGTATTATGTAGGAAGCTGTATTTATTTCTCAAATCAATCTATCGAAGACCAAGAGAGAGAGAAAGATTAGAAATTCCCATAACTTTTGTTTTTCTGTTTTCTTATCTTTGTATCTCTCACTTTATCTTATGTTTTGCTGTAAAGATCCATGACTGGTAAAACTTGAATTTGATTTGCAGTTTTTAATGATAAAAATGACTCCTTTCCAAGTTAATGGGTTGTTTTGTCATTAATTTTCCTTTGTCTGATGTTACTATTGTGATTTTATCCCCAACTTACTTTTTGCTATATTTTTGGACATATAATGCCCAATGGTTAACTTTCAAGTCCTCTGACTCATTTAGATTTAAGTGTCCCCTTTTAAATACATATCATTGGATTGTGGTTTCTGATTCAAATAGAGATTTTTTTTTCCTTTAAGGAGGAGAGTTTATTCTCAAATTTATGTTTAATGTCCCAACTGATACTTGGTCTCCCATCATCTTGTTTTATATTCAGGCATACCTCAGATATTGCAGGTTTGGTTCTAGACTACTGGGAATAAAGCTAGTATCACAATAAAGTGAGTCACACACATTTTTTGTTTTCCCAGTGTATACAAAAGTTATGTTTACACTATGCTATAGTCTATTAAGTGTGCAATAGCATTATGAAAAAGTTTGAAATACTGTGAGAATTACCAAAATGTGTCACAGAGACATGAAGTGAATGAACACATGCGGTTAGAAAAGCCAAACCAAACCAAATCAAACTCACTGCCAATGAGTTGATTCCAATTCATAGCAACTCTGATTGTGTTTCTAAAGCAGTAGATCTTTACAGAAATAGATTCCCACATCTTTCTTCCATGCAGCAGCTGGTAGGTTTGAACCACCAAACTTCTAGTTAGCAGTCAAAGGCCTTAGGCACTATGCCACCAGAATTCCTTCACTAAACCACCAAAGCTCCTTAAAGGGAAGTTATTAATGGCCAGATTGAAGGACAGATTTTAGACCTATGGCAAAACAAGACCTTTTCCTGGATCTGAAATCTTAAGAACTACTTGTTGGGAGAGCTGGCTGTATTAGCCAAAAAAACAGCAAGCACCAGAAGGGCCTTGAGTGAAAGTAGTTCCAAAGAGTCTTGGAAGGGCCTTTTTTCCTACTTTTGAATTAATAATAAGAATATTCAGCTGTGGTCCTATGAAAATTCCAGATTCTGAACAATCAGAATGGTCACCCCTCCTACCAGCAGCAGAAACGAGTAAACGGGCAAACAGAAACCATAAATGTTCTCTTAAACCTTACTCCTCATGGAAGGAAAAGTCCTTTCATCTATAGAAATGTGGCTATCATTCTAACATTCACCTTTTAACCAGCATCCTTTCTGCTGTAAGCCTACAATCTCATATTTTGTCTCTTCTTTCACAGAATCCAAACTTTCTTGGATTTTATTGATACTGGATGGTAACTAGGTTTATTTTTCCTATAATAAATATTTTTTTCAAAACATAGATTTTTTTTCCCACTTATTTTATAGGAAACTTAGAAAAGTCCCCATCTTATTTAGGAATATTGGGTTACTCATATTTTGATATTTTATGCAGCTCATCATAGATGAGCTCTACTTTCTGAATCAAAGAAGTATTTATGAGATAAAATTCACGTGATTTCATAAAGCAGGTGCTAGTAACCTGGGTCAGTGGTTGGGCTGGCAGCTACTGGGCTTCAGTCTGCCTAACAATGGGGGTGATCTCTGAATCAGTAGCCTTCATGCTATTTGAGGGGACCAAGTTCTTATAGTCTAGTCAGGAGGCCACCATAACTTCCACTTCGTTCTTTAAAATACAGCCATTCCTCAAAGGTTGGTAAAGAATATTTACTAAAGACATATCATTTTCTTAGCTAATCTTTATATGGGTAACTAATGGGAAACTGTTCAGTGGTGGTGGTGGTGGTGGTGGTAGTGGTGGGGATCCACTTGAGGGAAATTCCTCCACTGGCCAAATATTTGACCACGATGAGCAAGAGTACTGCCATAACAGAATGAATATGTGATCAATGTATTGAAATAACCAAATTCAGGAGGATATAATCAGGAAGAGCCTTTTTTTTTTTCCCTACCACAGTTAAATCACAAATACATAATACTGTCAATCTCCAGTTGTTGGCTTATTTTTAGACAGATCATTCAGATCATTCATCATATTAAAACCAAATTCTCTAACCACACTGTTTTCTAATTTGAAAGTTAAAAAGGGGAGCTTACCTGGGTTAGAAGATCCATCTCTCCCAGCAAATTGCTGAACATTTGGTCTATTTCATCACTTGACTCACCCATCTGAAAAAGAAAGAAACCCAGAGATAAATAGTTGAATAAAAGCCAGATCTCTGGATAAATGTCACTTCTCTTTCTTTCTTCAAGGGTCCCATCCAGGGGTAAGTAAATCTAGAATAGAAAGATATGGAGAACAATCGTGTGATAGTTGGAGCTATGTGTCAACTTGGCTGGACCACAATTCTGTGTGGTTTAAGCAGTTGTGATGTGGGTTATTCCCATGATAAGATTGGATGCACATGTTCTGAGCAGCCAGTCCATTGAAAGGGAGTTTCCCTGGGGGTGTGGACTGCTTCCAATATATTTATGGACATCCTGGGAAAAGAGACACTCTTTTGTGGACTGGGATTCTGTTGTGCTGCCTACAACTGCCTGTGAGTGAACAATCATCCACCCACCATTCGGCCTGGTGTTCTTGTATTCGTCATTCAACAGCGTCAACAGTCAGGATACTGACTACCAACTTTGAGCTCGTCAGCCCCTGTAGCCGCATGAGTCGGGAAAAGCTTCCAGCTTGGTCCAAGAACTTGGGACTTGCCAGCTTCTATAAGTGTGTGGGCCTTTTTCCTAAGATAAATTTCTCTTTCTCTATATGTATATATAAGCTTTACTGGTTTTGCTTTTCTAGAGAACACAGCCTAACACAAGTCATATCAGTCTGAAATTCCAAGCCTGACCACTCTCCAATTTGGCCTGGTCCTAGATGAACAAATCCCTAGGAACTGCCAAAAATTCGCCTATCTCCTGCGAGGTTAAGTCTCTCCACAGGTTGGACCTGGAACAGAAATCAAAGTGTTCGTATTTACCACTCTGAACTGTTTTTCCAAACTAAACTAGGCTCCTTGGGGTCGAGTGGATAAAGTGTACATCACTTAGGAATTAAACTCATCACAACCAAAACACCAAACCTACTGTTGCTGAGGTGATTCTGACTTATACCGACCCTATAGGACACAGTAGAACTGACCCATAGGGCTTCCGAGGCTGTAATCTTTATAGAAGTGGACTGCCACATCTTTCTCCTGCAGAATGGCTGGTAGGTTCAAACCCACCAGCAGCCAAGTATTTAACCACTGTGCCACCAAGGCTCCTCAGCTCACCATAGGACACCTTATTAGAAAAGAAGAAAGTGTCATTTATGCCACAGATAGTTGTGTCATAAGAGATGTAGAACACTAGATCCACTTTAAAAAAAAGTATACAATCAAGGTAAGTGAAGAGTGATTAAACGTATTTACCAAACTATTTCCTAGTTAACAAAGATATCTCTGAAATCAAAGTTTTAACACATTTATTTAGAACTATTGGTGTGACAAACAGAACTAAAATGGTAGATAGCCAATTGAAAAAAAAAAAAAAAACAACGAAGATGGAAATAGAGTATTTTTTAGATTAAAACATTTCTTTCCCTAAATTAAGCAATTGTCCAAGGGAGGAAAAGTGTTACAGTAAGACTGGGGCTGGGATGCCCTGTGATGTATAACCAGCTGCTCTCTTTCTTGACATTTTGGGCAGTACTGGGTTATGAAACTAGGAGAGAAAGCTCTTAGCCAATAAGCTACAGTGTGCTGTTTGGCAAAGGGAATCAGCTGCTGCTTCTGTGAAATAAGGAGTTTGCCTCAGGTCATTTCTAAGACTCTTAAATGCTCTAAAACACTACAGATTAACACCAATGACAACTCAAGCTAAGAAGTCTGATGAATGTAGAGGACCAGTATACTATGTAAGCAAACAATATTTATACATGTGTATATGTGTCATATGTGTGTTTTAACCTTTTTATATGGAAACTTTTAAACACACATAAAACTTTTTAAACATACAAAACAGAATAATATAATTAATCTCATGTATCCAACTCTCTAGTGTTAACAATGATCAACTCATGGCCTTTTTTATCTAAATATATATGTATCTCCTCCCCAACAGACTATTTTGAAGCAAATATCATTTTTCCATAAATATTTCAGTATGAAGCGCTCTCATTTTTTTTTTTTTTTTCCACTGTACCACAATACTCTGGGTGTATGTGTGTGTTTAAAACAAATAATTTGGGTAAAATAGGCGAAGTTAGGGCAGATACATCTTTCCTTAAACAAATTATCTTCAAAACTTATACTTTTAGAGGTAACATGTTTTTATTTGTAATAGCTGTATCTAATCAGGTGTAAAAATGGCATGGAGAGGCATCTGACTTCCTCTAATTTCATGAGGGGGAGAAAGACTCACTGTTGGCATCAGCTTAAGGCTGATTCCTATGAAGCGGAGGTCAGACATACTTCCTCTCTCCAACCTGTTTAACTACTCTGATACCAGCACTCTCTACTTCTCTGCTGGGTTCAATAAATTGTTGCAGTGGCCACACAGAACTCACAGACAACTCTCACAATAATGAGGTTTATTAGGGAAGTAACAGGTCACAATTCAGGTTCAGAAATGACTCAGGATCCTGTTCTTTGTTAGGACAGCCTCTTCTTAGCCATGCCCACAGGCACAGGCAGGCTTCTCTTCGAGTCCCTGAGGCTTCTTTGGCCTCTTGGGCCAGCCTGGCCTCTTAACTTAAAAGTGTTACAAAGCTTTTAAGCTCTGCCAGTAAGTGCCCAGAAACACCCTCCTCTGCTAGTAAACCTTGCCAAACGCGTTCAGTTCTCTCACTTACTCCATGGATCTGCAAGCCTAGCTCCGCCAAGTGCCCGGAGGCAACCTACTCCACTAGAAAGTCTCCTGCCCAAATGTATTCAGCTCTCTTGCTCCATGGGCAGGGAAGCCCACTGCACCATCTCCTACTGGTCTCCTGGTTCTGCTACTTTTGTGGCCACCATTTCTCTGCTGCTGCTTCTCACCATCTCTCATCGTCTCCAGGGTTACAGCTGTCTCCTGGGTCTAGGAAGAACCTAGCATAGGGACCCTGGGTACAAAAGACACACTGCATTCCTGCCTCTTTGTCTTGGTGGTAGTCAGGTCCCCCCTTTCTACCTCTGGGATGGTCATTTTAAGACTAGTGCAATGGCAAAACTGATCAAGCCACTTGTTAAGAGTTCTACAATTATTTGCATTGTCCCACCCCTGCAGGGTGCCACACACCTTACTTGCTTAGTCCCACCCAATCATTTGGTGGGAATTACAAGACCATGGCTGGAAAGGCCATATAAAAGTAATCCATCACACTGCATTTGGGTTTTTTTGTCTCCTTATAAAATATGAAATACCTTTGTATTTCATATCCATATTTGACTCTGCCTACTTAAAAATGCTTCAATTTATTTCTAAAAATCCCAATCCTTGAAAGTGAAGGAATGTGATGTAATGATGATGATGCTGATGATAACAATAACACTTAAATAGTACTTATCATTTTTCAAGAACTTTTCTATAAGCCAGAGTTGATATTAAAAGCAGTTAGCACCCAGTATGGCATGTACACTAACTAAGATAGGATGCTAGGTGTCAAAACTATTTTGGGTGAACTGGTACATATCCTCCAAATATCCACCCTGCAGAGTTAGTGCTTATTCTTCTCAAATCATCTTCAACCATTATTTTGGGCTTATCACTTAGGAATTCTGCCATAACGAAATCTTCTTTTTTTCTCATCATTTATTTTCTCCTCTCTAAATTTTAAGAAGAAAAACTTATTTTGCTTTCTCTCCCCAACTTTACCATCTTCACTGAACAGAAGTGAGAGTATTTTCCATCTGAATATCCTGCTCCCCACAATAATTCTTTGCTCTCTTTCTAGGCACTCTCTCTGTTGTTGTTGTTGTTTGCCGTCGAGTCGGCCCCGACTCATAGCGACCCCTCCTTGGGTTTCCGAGGCAGTATCACTACGGAAGTAGGACTGCCCAACCTTCCTTCCGAGGAGTGGCTGGTGGGCTTGAACCGCCAGCCTTCTGGTGAGCAGTCAAGTGCCTTAGGCACTATGCTATGCAAAAGCTACTCTGTGCCACCCTTATTGAGTACATTCAATGGTTGAATGCAAGATTTCAGTTTTGCACTTTTTGTATTAGAGGAGGTGGTGTAAACCGTTAATGCACTTGGCTGCTAACTGAAAGGTTAGAGGCTCGTGTCCATCCAGAGGCACCTCAAAAGAAAGGCCTGGAAACCTATTTCTAAAATATCAGCCACTGAATACTCTATGGAGCACAGTTCTGCTGTGACAGATGCGGGGTTGCCATGAGTCAGAATTGATTTGGCAGCAACTGGTATATTGGAGGAAGGACGACTGAATTGTTATGAATGGACATGTTAACTTTCCAGAGCACTATCTGGGGCCCAGTAGAGGAGGTGCCACACAGGAACATGGGTAGCTGCAAAAGTGGACTGGCCAGGAGGGACCAGGGATGGGACTTTAGTTAAAACAAGAGTGATCTATGATACCACAGGATGATCACATTCCTTAGCAGTAGACATAACTGAAAGAATTGGGTGTATGTACACCATGGGACATGGAGGCAAGTGGTTGAATGCAAGGAAGCCATTCAGCAAATGATCAGGGTCAGACCACACAAAGTAGGCAGGTGAGCACTCAGGAACAGAAGTGACAGCTAAGGTGGATCCCACAGGTCTCAGTCTATGCGGCCAGAGAGGAATCAAACAGCACCAGTGAAGAAAGATGGAGAACGTTTATCCTGTTTTGTGCAGGGCTTCTAACCTGTTCCCTCCAGGTTGACCCCCTGCTGAGAAGTTCTATTTCTACCCCAGATGTAGTGAATCAAAATCTACATTTTTAACAAGATCCCCAGATGATTCCTATGCTGACATAAGAATTATCTGGGGATCTTGTTAAAATGTAGATTCTGATTCAGTCTATCTGGGGGTGGAAAGGCATTTGCTCAGCAGGGGGTCAACTTGGAAGGAAGCCCTAGTTTTCTATGACCTATTGGACCTAAAGTGTTTACTGAAGACAGAAGAAGAAAAGAAGGCTACAGGTAGACCTAGTCTCAGGTTGACAAGGGGAGTCGATGCTGGCATTTGTTCCCATGTGGTCTTATTTCCTTTGAAAA